CTCTCTTTTTTTTTTTTTCTATTAGTTTTTCTTATAAAATTGCTTACAAAATATAAAGTAGGTGATTATAGATCTATCTAGTTTTATAGAAAGACAGACATATATGAAGATAGAGATATCAGTTTTCTATCTTGTTTTATTTTTGCTTTTTGAGACAGTCTCATTATATAGTTCAGGCTGGTCTTGGACTCACTATGTAGCCCAGTTTTTTTTTTTTTCTATTAGTTTTTCTTATAAAATTGCTTACAAAATATAAAGTAGGTGATTATAGATCTATCTAGTTTTATAGAAAGACAGACATATATGAAGATAGAGATATCAGTTTTCTATCTTGTTTTATTTTTGCTTTTTGAGACAGTCTCATTATATAGTTCAGGCTGGTCTTGGACTCACTATGTAGCCCAGACTGGCCTCAAACTTTCAGTGATCATCTTGACTCAGCCTGAGTGCTGGGATTATAGGCTTGTGCCACCACGCCCGGCTCTAGATAATTAGGTTTAAAATTAACTTCATTTTGCAGCATAATTTAAAAGCTATACCTCAGGATTTTTGTGAGAGTGTAAATAATAGGGTTTGAACCTAGGGCCTTCACACTGCGCTATAACCCCAGCCTTTTGTTTTGTTTTGTTTTTTTGGTACCGGGGATCAAACTCAGGTCCTTGCGCTTGGGAGGCAGGAGGCAGAACCACTGAGTGAAATCTATGGCCTTCCCCAGCCTTTTTAAATTTTTATTTTTTGGTATGGGGACAGGGTCTCACCGGGTAATTCAGACTGGCCTTGGACTCACTATGTAGCCCAGGCTGGCCTCAGACTTTTGGTGATCCTTCTGCCTCAGCCTCCTGGGTGCTGGGATTACAGGTGTGCACCACCACACCTGGCTCACAACCTACTTTTCCTCCAGTTGTACATTATGTAGGGTTTTTTCCAGAAGCCTAAGGTCGTTGTGATAAAAACCCAGCTCAGGAGAAGACTGCAGTGTGCCTTTCTCTTAGTGGTGCTGAGGACCCAGCCCTGGGCCTGGCACATGCTAGGTAGGCACTGTGCCCCAGCCCAGAAGCAGCTTGCTGTTTCCAGAGTCCTCCAGCAGTAGGACTGCCTCGCTCGGTGCTGGAGAGCAGAGAGCACCCCGAATTGTACAGCCAGTAAAGCTGGGCTGAAGACAGGAAGTCCCTCTTGAGGGCACGTTTGTTGGAAGGTGGGGCTGCGGCTCTGTGCTCTCCTTTCCTGGAGTTCACAGTGAACCAAGCTCCTGCAGATGTGGGAGGGAGGGCAGGAGTGATCTCGGTCAGTACCCAGTGCAGTGGTGCTTAGATTGGGTGCTGCTCCCCCTCCTGCCCTCCCCACTCTGCTTCTCAGGAACAAGCTCTGTGCTCCTGGCCCCTGGCCCCTGGCCGTGCCCTTTCCAGGGCCTCTGCTTTCTTTTTCTCCTTTTCATTGATGTTGGGGTGGAACCCAGGGCTTCACACATGTTCTGCAAGCACTCATCACATCCCGGGGCTGTTTCCCCAGCCCATTTAGAAGCTCTTGAGGCCAGAAAGAGGCTGCAAGCTACTAGGCAGGCAGAGGCAGGAAAGAGGTGGTAGGGGGCGGTGTGAAGAAAGTGATTGTTGGGTAGAGTTTGATTTCATGGAGAAAGGGCTTACCCAGTTAGAGGTCCTGACCCGAGCTCAGGGATGAGTATAGGCCTGACAGGCCCTGGTTCCATCCGCAGCACTGCACAGAAAAAAGAAAAATGTGTGGGATCCAGCAAAGAACTATGATTTTGTTAGGAGGAGAAATAGTTTGAAGGTCACTTAATTAGTTTAGTAGATAGTACCGTGGTGTATAGAATTGGGTAGTTAAGACTGGGATTTCAAGGTTAATGAGATTAGATTATGGTTAATAGAATGATATAAATTTAGAGAATTTAACCATTATTTGAAATGGGTTATTTAATAAAAATGTTAATTAAGGAGGGAATCTGCTGTCTCATGTCCTTTAATAGTAACCTTTGGGGACCAGAGAAAGGTCACGGAGCTCCTCTGTGGAAATGGTTTTTGTTGTGAGGCCTGATGGACCTCGTCCCTCTGCTCTGAGCTCTTGTCCACTCAGCTAGGACCCTAAACAGAATTCCTTACCTGTGGTGTGGGCAGGCTGCTCATGACTCTGTTGGTGAAGGAAAGACTTCACCAGAAAAATGTCCATAAGATAAAATTGTTTAAAACTCGCTCCCAGCCATGATGCTGTGTAATGTTTATGAAAATTCTCTGATTTCCAAGTCTGTCCTCCCTGCCCTCTTTCATTCCCCGGAAGGTAGATGGTGAGGGAGGCCATGGAATTGATGGACACTAAGTGGGTCCAGCAGGTCACAACTGGTGCCACAGTTCTGATGACCTGAAAAGCAATCTAGAAAGGTTTAAACTTTTTTAAAAAGCTGGGTGTGGTGGTACATGCCTCTATTGCAGCACTCAAGAGACTGAGTCAGGAGGGTTACCACAGGTTCAAGGTCAGCCTGGACTACCTACATAGCAAGACCCTGTCTAAAAAAAAGGAGAGAGACCTGGAATTTCTGTCACAGTGGAGGTGTTGAAAGACAGCATCTCTGTGTGTCCTGTGTGTCTGATCCCAGGGCATCTGGGAAACCTGCCTCATACCAGCAAATAGCAGGGGCTGTCGGTGGGCAAGTTAAGGGAGCAGCCACATCTCTGCTTCTGTTGTGCCACACCCCTGTGTGCACACAGAGGGGCACACCTGTCACCTCACACTGGTCACATGGCTTCAGTGTGTGCTGTGAGATTATAGAGGTTGGTGATTCTGGGGATGGGTTTTAGGATCTCAATCCCCCCTGGTCTTGATCATGTTCTCATCGCTGAGACACAATACCTGACATCCGCAAGATAAAGGAGGAGGATTTCTTTTGGCTCATGGTTTGTAGAGGTCCATAGTCAACTGGGCCGGTGTGGCAAAGGAGAAACAGCACATGGTAGGGCAGCAGGAAGCAGACTGATCAAGGGAGGAGGAGGGATTTGGAGCCTTCCAGGCCACGCCTCAGGAACCCTTCCTCTCCAGCCAGGCTTCCCCTCCTAAATTACATGTAGCTGTACACTCATTGCTGTCACACCCCCATGATAAGTCACTTCCCCAAGGCCCCACCTTGAGCTCATGAGGCTATGGGGAGATGTCTAAGTGTAAACCGTAGCACCCCTGATTAACATTCTCAAGACAAACATGCAGTCTTCGCATGGCGGGCAATACCGTGTGTTGTTCTGCAGCTGTGTGTGGTGTGCAGATTGACTTTTGAGCGTTTCCAGAGTTTGGAATAGGTCTGATTTTTCCTGATGGGTGGGATTAGGATGCCAGTCCAGTCTGCAATGAGAGCAGGTTTCTGTAGAGAATTGAGGGCACAAGATGCTGAAGAAGAGCATCAGTCTTGGAAACGCTGGCCTGCTGAGAGGCCCAGAGTCCAGAAAAGGGACCACAAGGGGCCCTGTTATGTCAAGTAGATAGAGGCAGAGAGGAGGAACTGGGAAGTGTCTGGGAGGGCAGCCTTGTAAACATGCGGGAAGTCTCCCTCCGTGCCCTCATTGCCTGGACCTCTCCTAGGATATAACCTTTGGCACTGGGACTTTTGTTCTCTTCTCTTCCAGTGGATACTGAGAAAATAGTGGGCCAAGGAGCTGGCTAGGGGTGAGCAAAAGGTACAAAGGAAACCATTCCTCTTCCATCTGCCAGCCTGAATTCCAACCCCATACCCTAGCTGTCCTTGGTGCCATTGTGTCAAGTGTTTGAAGATATTTTTTTCCTAAGCATTGTATGTTTTGTATGTTTCTATTTCTGTCTTAGTGACTTTCCTGTTTCTGGGTCTTAGGAGCAACATCCACAACCTAAAGCAGGAGAGGTTTATTTCAGCTCGTGGTTTTGGAGGTTTCAGTGTAGACTTGGCTGGCTCCAGGGCAGAAGGGACTCCATAGAAGGATCTTGGCAGACAACAGCCGCTTACCCTGGGCCAGCAGGAAGCTGGAAGGGAAGGCCATAGGTGCCCTCCCAGGTCACGCCCTGCCTCGCAGAAGAGAGCCACTGCTTCTGACCAGGCCCACCTCCTAACAGCCACGCTGCTGAGGACAGCCTTAGTGATCCAATCCCTCCAGATACCTGCCTCTGAGCACAGGGCCTTATGGGCGACATTCTAGATCTGAACCATACTGTGTGAGAGAGTATGTGTGTGATTAAAGTTATCCTGGCTTTGGATTTCAAGACAAAGATCAGTTTTGCTTGTAGGGTTTTGTTTTCTTTTGTTTCTTTTTTTTTTGCAGTACTGGGGATCGAACCTAACGCCTTCATGCAGAGCTAGCCCTTTTTCATATTTTCGTTTTCAGACAGGCTCACATTTGAGCCAAGGCTAGACTGAACTTCTGATCCTCTTGCCTCAGCCTCCCAGAGAGCTGGGATCAATGTCCCACAAGATCAGCAGCCTTTCCCTTGCCCCTGGCTTTGGTCACCACAGAGACCTCCCTGCACCCACAGCTCTGAGCTTGCAGAACGTCCTTGGGCACTGCCCTCCAGCAGTACCACCTCATGCTCACCTTTTCATCTCCCATCCGCTGGCTGTTTGCTCAGTCCTTCTGCAGACAGGAGCCGTGGTCCAGGTCCCAGGAGTCTGGCAGCTGCCTCCTGTCCGCAGACGAGGTCTCCAGCAGTCCAGGTGTATGGTAGACGCCGAGGTGGGAAGACAAGGTCAAGCCCAGCCTGGGCAGCCCAGCAATTTAGAGCACCCTGTCGTGAAAGAAAAAGTGAGAGGGTGGGATGTGAGTGCCCAGCGTCCTGCGGACATTCCCATTGCTTGCTAGGCTGGCATCAGTCCTTACTCCAGCTGTGTGTGGAATCGCTCAGCTATGAGTCGGACCTCAGATTTATTTTTAAATCTTTCTGTACACTTAAGAAGGCAAGCTCAGTCTGTGATTTTGCTACCTCCCTGGTATAGTGCCCTTTGTCACTGGAAAAATATTGATAGCGAGTAGTATTTTATGTATGTTCCATCCAGCTGCTTCTGGACCTTGGGGCCTCGTGGCACAGAGGGACAGGCTGCATTGCTCAGCAAGGGTCTGAGCTGTGTCATCTTAAAGCGGTCGCTGAAGTGACCACATGGTCGGCGTGGCTTCACAGACCAGGCCGGCCCCTCCAGCCACGGCTACACTGCTTCCTCCCAAGCAGCCAGCAGTGATGGACCTGGACAGAGATCAAATTAAAACGAGCAGTGCAGCTGGGGACCTCTTTCCACATAAGCAAGTGGCAGCCTGGGCGGCCCTCGGTTCCCAGGGTTACTGTGGGGAAAGATAGGGTGACACAGAGGGGCGAGGACTAGATTTCCTCTCCATGAGGCCAGAGCTTGGCCCTCGAAGTCCAGCGATATTCCCTACTGCCGTTGCTGAATTGAGGCTAACTGATTCAGATTGTTTCAGTGAGGTTGGTCAGGGAAGTATGGTGGACAATGGGGCTGTTCATATCAAAGACTGCCGTCCCCATATGGAGATCAGATGTGCAGGGAATTGGTCAGACCAGTTTGTAACAATAAAGGTTCAACCATTAAGCAAACCTATATGTTCACTTCCTCCTTTAGAGGCAGGGCCGAAGTCAGCTTCAAGTAAGCGATCTCCTTGTCGGTCGTGTTTTATAAAAACAGAGCCTGGCCAGGCGAAAGGCAGAGAGGCTGAGTACTCCTTTTCCTCAGAAGCGAAAGCCCCGTTTTCCAGTAGTGCTGTCCTTAAGCGTGGAGCCCATCTGGAGGGGGGAGCTGGGGTCTTGCAGCCAGAGCACTGCTGTAGCTTCACAGCCCCGCTGGGGCCCAGCCCTCCTGCCTCTCCACTCCTCTGAAAGAATGAGGAAGTCTGGGATAGCTCCTCTCGAGAGGCAGGCGTCTTTCCTCCCACTGCTGCCCACAGACACCGCGAGGTGGAACCGGCCAGAGCAGGAGTGCTGCCACGGCCACTCTGCCTTGCTTCCCTGTGTGACAGCGGCCACCGGAGGGCTGTTCTACGGGATTTGCGTGGAGGAGAGGTGTGGGCCGGCCGCACACATGCCTGGAACTCGGGGCTGCGGGCTGATGGAAAGGTCAAGGCCAGTCTGGGCAACTTAGTGTGCCCGTCTCAAAAATTCAGTAAGAAAACTATTTAAAACGGCAGGGGATGTGGCTCAGCCTCCAGTACTGACTGGAGGCGGCTCTGGCCAGCCTGGGCGACTGCAGCCTCAGGGCTTGGGCAGCACTGCTCCCCTCTCCCTCCCCAGAGCTGGTGATTTGGTTCCGGGTGTGGTCTACACCTCCCACCTGCACCTCCTGCGCTCCCGAGGCCCAGCCTGCCCACCCTTGGGATTTGGGCCTCGCGCGCCCCCTGTGGGCAGGACGGGGAGGGACAGGCCCTCACCTGCTCACCCGACCCACGGAAGAGCCCCCTCAGGGCCGTGGCTGAGTGGGTATTTTCCTGTCTGCCTGCACTCGTGTTCAGTTACTGTATTCAGGGCAGCCCCTCCTCTTGTCAGCCACAAGACAAGAAAAGACAGCACAGTATTGCTGTGTGAGGGAGCAAGCCCTGTCCTCGACTTCCCAGAGGAGCGGGTCTCATAGGACAGGATAGGCTCAGTAAAGGAGAGGAGAGTGCGTGGCCTGCGCGTCCTGGGCAGGCGAGATGGCGCTCTTCCTCATCCCTCTCTGTGGGTGAAATTTTTCTGTCTCCTGGCAGGTGAGCAATTTTTCCTGGAAACTAATTAGCTACTAAAATTAGACATGCTTCTCTTTACATTTATCCTTTTCATGAAATGGTTTTAGAATTGGCCTCAGCTTTTCCGAAAGCACCGCTGACCAGTCGGGACGGCAGAGCTTGGTGGCCCTCGCCCTCAGCGGCAGCCCCCACCCTGCCACTGCCAGCCTCCTGGCACAAGGGCCCTGAAGGCACCTGCGGAGTCCGAGTCGCTGGGAGTGTAGGCGCCCGCCAGATCCTATGCCTTTACGGAATCGGTGTCCAGGTGGCCGTGTCAGCTGACCTCTGTTGTGTCCGCCGCTCAGGTTCCACAGCTGCTGGGGGCACAGGAAGTGCAGGGGCCACCTGGGAGCTCGCTCTGGGTTCCTGTGGCAACAAGCGCACCCCTGAAGTTAGCCACTGCGGGGCTGGGAGCACCTAGGTGCGGCGTCAGGGGGTTGAAAAGGAAGTCACGTCTGGCAGGCCTGGCATCCGCATCCGTGAGGAACTGTGCCGCCTGCCAGGTGGCCGTAGGCATTGTGTGCTTTTTACTTCAGTCTCTCTCTGGCCCTGAGAGGGAACTTCCAAGGTCACTGTGTCTTTAGGGGAACCTCCACCCTGTCCCTCCACTTGGGCCACGAAAAGCCACCAGAAAGCAGGCCAGGCCCCTTTAAACCTGTTCCAGTGCTGCAGAGAAGTAAATGTGCAGGGCCCATGTGCCTAGCGCACAGCACAGAAGGCTTTTTTTTTTTTTGAGACAGGGTCTCACCATGTAGTGAGACTGACCTGGAACTCACTATGTAGCTCAGGCTGGTCTCGAATTCCCAGCAATCCTCCTGCCTCAGCCTCCCGAGTGTTGGGATTACAGGCGTGCACCACCACACCCGGCCACTGAAGGCTTGTTTTTCCAAAACGAATTTTAATTTAACCCAAGTGTACACTGTCACACTGTAAATATACTGGGGCACCAGAAGGGTGGCTTGCCGGATTCAGTGCCCTAGCAAAGGTCAGCTTTTAGAAAAAGCCAAAAATGGCTGGAGTCGTTCCTGATAGCTCTTCATCAGGCCTTGGACCCAGCAGATGTGTTTGTTTCTTCAGAGGGCATTCCCCAGGCCCACCTCAAGTCCAGGCCCGGGCTCCTTCATCTCCCTGGGGGCTCTCAGAGCCGCTGCCTCCCAGGAGGTCCTGGCCCTGGTCACCCAGGCAGGCCCTGAAGCTGGGGGTTCCCGAGGGAGGGAGGACGGGCTCCTGATGGAAGTGCTAGGCCTTTCTCGAAACTAACATTGTCTTTCTCTGCCCACTTTCCTCAAAGGATGGCATGAACTGGGTCTGCAAAAATGTCAATGCAAAAAAGAAATAAAATCTAGACAAATGGAGACACAGGAGCTACGGGAGCCGAATTCAGTGCCGGAAAACACTGGTTTGCTGCTTTCTGACCAAATGTTTTTCCATCTGTGTGCAGCTACAGCTGTTTGAAGAGAGGGAACAACACAGCTTAAAAAGAATCCCCATTCCAGCAGTAGATTTAACTGATCTCTGAGGTTCAGTATCATTTTTCAAATAAAGGAATTACATTATTTCCTCTGCATAATTGAAATAGTATTAAATGTCTCAAAGCACATGATTAGAAAATGAGATCTTTTAAATGAGCAAGAGATTGCATTGCAGTTTAGACAATTCCAGTGGGCTTTTTTCTTGTGGGGAAAAAAAAAAAAAAAAAAAAGAGGAAGAGCTGCTTATGCTGAGTTCATTTATTTACTGACCTGTCCCTTCCTTCCCCCTGAGGTCGACAGCACAGTGTTTGTGGTGCTGGCTGGGACTGTACCCTTTACCCCCACTCCCTCTCCCCTAGGCAGGGCTTCGGTCTGTGCAGCAGGTTGGGGAGGGGAGGACAGCGATGATTAAACCACCTTGTCACACGCAGGTAGGAGACTCTGTAATCTCACCCTTGGACAGGAGAAAAATCCCCCCTTGCCAACAAGTCACTGCAGAAACACCCCACCCCATCCCACCCCAGGCTGCCACACCGGGAAACAGATTCGCATGACTCTGGACTCTAATGACATCTGGAATGTAAGGAGAGGTAGGAGGTTTGATTCCAGAAAAATTACAAGGTCCTTAAAAAGCCCTCACACAGAGGGCTCAGGCTGGGGTAAACAAGCTTTCTCTAGTTCAGTGGAGCAGTGAGCAGCCCTCTGAGATTAGCTGGTTCTCCAGCCATCCTATTGAAGGGATCTCTAAAGCTCGAAGAATTCTGTGTTTAAATGATCACAATAGGCCGCTACTATCAGATTTAAAAAATAAATGCAGCTTTACCGTGAACTGGCTGCACTAAGATAGGCCAGGCAGATCAATTATGAAAAGAGATCAATTTTTACAATGCTAGCAAGTGGGAGTATGGGAAGCTCCCGGGTGAGAGGCTTTGCTGCCCTCAGGAATGCGGGTGATGGCTGCAGGGTCCTCTCCCCATCCCCAGCAGGATGTGTCCTGTTGATTGATTAGAGAGAGACCAAGGCAGAGATTGTTCCCTGAGCTTTCACAAACCCCCAGCTTTAGACACTGGAGAGCAGGCCAGGCAGCACCAGCTCCTGAATGAAGCTCTGTTCAGGGCCTGAGCTCAGGGGTTTTGGAGAATGAATAAGAGACTGTCCAGTGCCTTGTGGGTCCAGGGAATACCAGCCCTTCCTGAATACTGAGGGATGGGAGGGAACAGAACGGGCACTGCAGTCCCAGAGCCCTCGGGACCCTGCTCTTTCTGACGACTCAGGCAGGAGAGGCAGAAGCCTGGCCAGTTTCAAAGCCAGTCTGGCGTGAAAGCCACTGAGGAAGCCAGCCAGGAAAAGCAGCCCTGGGGTGCTGTGGACAGACCTGTGAGGGCTTGTGAGATAAAAGGTGAGATTCTTAAACCACAAGAGTAGTTGTTCCTGCAACCTTCATGCTTCCCTGGCCCCCAAGCTCTTCTCCCACTGTTGGCACAACAACTCTAAGGAATCTGAAACACCCTTTGTATCAGCCCAGGCTGCAGATGGGGCTCTGGCCCTTGAAAATTGTTTTCCTTCCAAACAGTGCCAGGTTTGTCATCTGAAGGGCAAAATGCCCGCTTGTAGTCTGCAGTTTGGGAGCCCTGCGATGAGCTGTGACTGCCGGCGGACGTCTGTGAAGTGTTTTTAGTCGAACCAACTCAGAGAACGGCTCTCCAGAGCCCTCCGCAGGCCCTGCTAGGAGGCAGACGCCACAGCCCCTAGGAATGTCCACTCTTGGCCTTTAGCTGGAGACACCACTGGATGTCACCTGCTCTCATCTTCCCCAGGACAGGGTAGATGGAGGGGCCTGGAATGCAGAGTTTAAAGGCTTCCATTTGTGAAAACAAGTTCTTTGAAAGTCTCCTTTCCTTGGTGCTTCCCTCACACTGAACCGCTGCACCAGGGAAGGAGCCTGGAGCTCAGCAGGGGTCGATGCCTGAATGTGTGGGGAGCAAGCTGGGTGCCCCTCTGCCCCAGCCAGCTGTGGGGAAAACTGAGTCTGCCCTCCCCTCCCCCGCAGCCAGCGGCTGCTTTTGGCTGCTTTCCTGGGCCCAGCGCCACGCACCCTTTCCCCTTGCTCTCCCTCAGTTACTATGGAAACAAAGGTGTCCTTGATGTGCGCCCTGCCGGGAACATGTCGGGACATAGCTGACTCTGCCCGCTAGAAGTCAGCAGCCCAGGGAGCCACGGACAAGTCCTGCCCCGTCCTCCCTCCTCCCTCCTTGGTCTCTGCTTTGCGTGCTCCCACTTTTCCATGAATTTTTTCATTCCCTTCTATTTCTGGCCGTGCTGTGCTCCGCCCTCACTGTTGGCCACGGCCCCTCACCAGGACTATCCCTGGGTCCCCAGCACAATGTGCTTCGATTTCTCTTTTCCTTCCTTTTATTTTTAGCTCTGCGCTCCGTGTGGTTCCAGGGTTCAGTCTGAGCCAGCAAAAGGTTCTTTTTTATAGTCCCTTTTGAAAGTGATAATCAAAGGAAGGGACACGGGGTTTGGTCATGTGGAAACTCAGTGTATAATTTAGATGTCTGTCAAACATGCAACAAATAAAATGTAGCTGAGATGAAGGCCTCCTGGATGAGTTCTGTTCTTTGCAGAAGCCTGAAGGAGGCGCGGAGCTCTGCCCATCAGAGGCGACTGGAGGTTGTGACACTCATGCCACCAGCAGCAGGATGACCACCGGCCTTTAGTGGGATCCACCTGCGCCACTCAGCTGAGGAAATAGGCATGTGCCTCAGTTAACAAATCTGCCAGGATAACCAAGCCATAAATGCAGATGGAGCTTGAAGCCTGGCTCCTCCACCACCTCTGAGGACAAAGGCTATGAATGGCCCAGGCTTGGTGGCGCACACCTGCAATCCCAGCACTCAGGAGGCTGAGGCAGGAGGATTGCCACTAGTTCAAGGCCATCCTGGGCTACATAGTTCCAAGCAAGCCTGAACTACAAAGGGAGACCCTGTCTCAAAAGCAAAAATAAATTTTAAAAAAGAGCCAGGGAGGGCCAGGGGTTGGTTTAGCTCAGTGGTTCTGCCACCTGCCTCGCAAGCACAAGGTACCAAGTTAGATCCCCAATACCAAAAAAAAAGAGCTAGGGATGGAGCTCAGTGGTAGATCCCCCCAGGGTTTGATTCCCCAGTGCCCATACACAGCCAAAACAAGGCTGTGGAATGGCCACCACACAGTCTCAGCCCCCCAAGTCCTGTGCTCACCCTCCTACGTCCCTGCACACCAAGCATCTGACCCGCACTGTCCCGGGGTTCCCGTCCGTGTGTTGGGTGCGTCTGTGCCCACTGCAGCCACACAGCCATAGCTTCCATAGCCTCCTTGGTACAGGTCCAGCCCAGCTGGCAGGAGCTTCCGGTCAGCACCTGGTCCCAGGTGTTCTCCTAGGGTTTCCCCGAAGTCCAGGGACAGGGAGGGAACAGCGTGGCACAGAGAGCTCCACCACCTTTCCAGAAGCTCAGCAACACCGCGGCTCTGCCCATCCCAGGGTGCCCTCTGCTTAAAGGACAAGGTGGGGTGTGGGGCTGGAGAATGACAGGACATTCAGTTCCACCTGAGTTGCAGATAAACAGTGAGCAGTTTATAACTTAAACATTCCCCTTGCAATATTTGGGAATCGTGTTATTTATTTATTTATTGAGACATGGTCTCGCTATGCTACGTAGTCCAGGCTGTCCTTGAATTCACTATGAAGCCCAGGCTGACTTGAACTTTTGGCCATTCTCCTCCTCAGCCTCCGAAGTGCTGGGACTACATGCGTGCACCACCACACCTGGCTGGGACACTATCTATCTATACACACACACACACACACACACACACACACACACACAGGGGATTGAACTCAGGACCTTGTGCTTTCACTGAGCTAAGTCCCCTGCCCCTGGGACATCACTGTAATACTCGAGAAAACTCATTGCTTATCCGAAATTCAAGTTTAACGGGCCATCCTGGTTTTTGTTTTTGTTTCAGTGAATCTGGCACTCCTACCCAAGACTTGGTAAAGGGCAGGGAAAACACTGATTCTCTGGGGCCAGAGAGACCCATGGCCACTCCTGGCTCACCCATGAATCAGCTCGGTGACCTGGGCGAGTTTCTCTCTCCCAAGGTGCTCGCGCTGTTCCGCTTCATCCGTGAAATGGGACTGCAGAGGCAGGGAGATCTGAAAGAGGACTCGGGGCTGAAATCCCCGGGTCCAGGCAGTTGTGTGCGCAGTGGGTCGCTCAGTGCCTTGGTTCCCGCATCTGTGACGGTCGTCTCCTGGCTGTCCGGAGGCTTAGAGAAGACTGTGTGCACAGAGCAAGCAGGAAGTCTGAAGTCCAGACCTCCCCGGGCTTCAAGCCTCTCCTCTCCATCTGTGGCCCTTTGACTTTCAAAGCAACAAACAAGGGGCCGGTGCAGGCCTACAGGCAGCCCTCGCAGCAGCCCACCCGGCCGCACTGCCCGCAGTTACATTGGGGGTGAAGTGGGTACAGACTCGTCAGCGCCTCCCGCCTGGCTCCAGGCAAAAACACTGCTTCGTGCTCAGTCGGGCCGCATTTTAGGGCCCCGTTCCCCTCTGCAGCCCCCTTAACTGCAGTCTGTTCTGTAATTTCCAACACTTCGGAACGGAGAGGTGGCAGTCACCGGGAGGGAGCAGGCGGGAGGACAGAAGGGCGCTCCCGCTGCCGCCGAGGATCCCGGACGATCCCGGCGCACGGTGTGGGGCGGGCGGGGCGGCGCGTGTGCAGAGCCAGGGCGCAGGCGGACGAGAACGGGTGACGCAGCCATCCCGCGCTTCCCTTCCGGAAAGGCGAGGGGTCCACCTGTGCCGGACAGGCCCTTCTCCTGTTTAACCCTTTCCAGGGCTTCGGTGACCGCCAGTATTGCCACCAAGCTGGAGGGGAGGAAAGGTTCCCAGAATCTGAATCACATGGCCAAGATCACTTCGGAAAAGTGAGACAGAGGAAGAATTTAAGCCAAGGTCTGTTGGCTGAGTCCCACGATACTTTTTTCCCTTTTTATTCTAAGGCTTTGCTCTCAGAAAAAGAGTGAAGGAATTATGCACAAAAGGACACAGAGAGGGCTGCGGATTTAGCTCAGTGGCACCATGCCTGCCTCGAAAGTGCAAGGTCCCAGGTACTAAAAAAGACCAGAGGTTTCTTAGTGTGAACAGCAAGCAGTGCAGTGGGGACAAAGGTCCTTCGAAGAAATGAAATATTAATGACAGAACTGCCTAGAGCAAGTGAGGGGCTTTGCTGGGATAGCTGAGACCCAAGGTTCAGGGCAGGGCAAACTGCTCCCCTTAGCATTAGGGGAGCAGGTGCTTGTTCCTACCTTGGGCCTTTACTGCCCCTTGCTCCCAGATGAGAACACTGAGACACTTGCCACGAAGTACACAGCTAAGAAGCAGCTTGACTGAGGTCCCCTGGCTCCCTGCCTGGAAGTCCCTCTTGTCCGGAATAAAGTCCTGCGAGCCAGAGAGAGCAGCTAGTGTGGTCCCCTCACTTTGTCTCACCCTGTTGAGGTCCATGGGATGCCCTGCTACTCTGGGAGCCCCTTCCACAGAAGGAAGAGGGTGGGGTGGGGACACTGCTGGCCCCTTTCCTGTGCAGAGCACCTCAGCCCGGCCCAGGTCCCCGGGGGTTTGTCCCCAGGATACCCCACAGCAGGGAGCACTGTGGCACAGGCGCCCCAGGCTGTCCAGCCTGACCTCAGCACTTCCCCCATAGCGCTCTTGGGGGCGGGAGCCCAGCAGCGCCCCTTCCCCAGCCCTCTCTGCTGCAGGAGCTCAGGGGCAGCAGAATCAAGCTGTCATGTCCCCCACCCCAGCCCCGGGCTCGGGGCACAGAGCTTGCCTGATCGGGGGCTGCAGGGCCAAGCGACCTTCCTGCCTGGACACCACAGAAGGCTTCTGGAAAGAAGTGGCTGAGCCAACCACAGTCCATACTGGGGCCAGCAGAAGTCTCCCTCCTGTCACCCTGCGCCTGTGCCCAGCAGGCAGGCGGGCAGGACTTGGCCTGGATGCACCTTGCCTCACTCCAGGTCTGGCCAGCGTGAGCAGTAGCACAGGGCAGAGAGGACACTCGGGCTGGTCTGATGGTGCAGGCATCTGCACAGCTGTGGGTGACCCACCCCAGGCCTGGAATGGGCACCGCACCGGCCCACCACTGCGCTTCCTGACACAGTTGGCCAGGATGGACATGGAGCAGCAGGGCAGCTGTGGGCGGAGCAAACCTCCAGTCCCACCCACTCTGCAGCTGCTGCCAGGGCCTGTGCCAGGAGTGCGTGCACATGAAGGACCAGCTGCCATGATGGGTCCCATTTTGGGGGCAGAAGTTTCATACATCCTCTGCCCAAGTCGTGCTTTTGTTTTCCTCGGAAGCCTCTTTGTTTTTTGTTTTTGTTTTTTTTGGTACTGGGGCTTGAACTCCATCCCTCGTGCTTGAGAGGGCAGCAGAACCACTGAGCCAAGTCCCTGGCCCTTCCTCAGAAGCCTCTTGATGGCGGAGGCACAATGGCATCTGCTCCCGCACTTTCTTGGCAGCTTTGGCTAGGTGCTGCCTCTTTCCAGGGCTGAGGCGAGCCCTGGTTTTCTGCTGCCTCCAGGGAAGGAGAAGGCCTGGTCCCAGCTTCAGCCCTCTGGCCCTGATCTTGCAGCTTCTCCTCCTCAGGCCACTCCTCTTGTCAGAGCCCTGGAGCTAAAGGTAGCTCTTCTGCTGCGAGGCCCTGGAGGTCTTGCCACTGTTGCATACTCATGCCATTTAGCTTGGCTTTCAAGGCCCCTCTGATCTGACCTTAACTTGTATTTTGTTAATTTTTTTTTTAATATTAGGGATTGGATCCAGGGTCTTTGCACTGGGCTACATCCCTAGACCTACTAAATTTTTTATTTTTAATTTTGAAACAAAGTCTCACGAAGTCACTAGGTTGACCACTGGCCAGCAGTGAGCAGGAAATTGTGATCCTCCTGCCTCAGCCTCCCAAGTGTTGGGATTAGAGGAGTGCACCCTAACGCCCAGCTTCAACACACTTTTTTTTTTTTGTACCAGGGATCGAACTAGGGTCCTTGCGCTTGCAAGGCGGGCCACCGAACCGCTGAGCTAAATCCCCGGCCCCCAACACACTCTTGATGGACGTTACACAGACTATGCCCCAGGTGAGCCCTCACTGCCCGACAGAATCCCTACATGTTCATCTGCACACCAAGCTCCTGGCAAACTCCTCCCTGAGAAGTCAGCCCTCCTCTGCCAGACAGAAGCCACTTCTGGGAAGGTGGCTGGGCCCTCAAGCTGTCCCCAACTGGCTGGCCTGCCTCTGGCACTCCCGCCTTCTCCTTCCTGTTCCCCACTCTCCCCTTCAGTCACACGCACCCGACCTTCTTGAAATGAATCTTCTGCTAAGCCTCTGTGCCCACTCTCTCCGTCCAGAACATTTTTGCTCCAAAGATCTGCAGGTCTTGCCGTGACATCCGGGAGGTTTCTGTCGAGTGCCTCCTCACTTTCCTCTGTGGCTTACTGCACACTCAGGCTTACTGCCTGTCGGTCTCTTCCCCACAGAGAGGAGAGACTGGGCTCTGAGAGGGCAGAGTCTCTTCTGCTCGTGACTGCTGACACTGGAGCGGTGTCGGCACCGCAAAGTACTGCGTGAGAGAAGGAATGGAGGAACGAAGGGATGGAACACCTTACTAAACTCTAACAAACCAAAAACACTTTGGATTTCGTGTCCCCCAGGGATTCGCAGTCTCTACAGCCTAGTTGGATGGGTAAGCTGTGTGGCTTGCAGCCTGGCGCATAAACCATGAGTTACAGTGCCAGGGAGACAGCAGGTGCGGGAGTCTGCTGGGCCTAAGGAGCCCCAACCTGCCATAGCTCCTGGGGCCCAAGAGCTGGCAGCACCCAAACTGGACAAGGCACCAAGCCACACTCTCAAGGCTCCTCAGTGCCCTCTGGAGAAGAGGGGAGGGTGGCGTGGAGGACGGACACTTTGAGGCTACACAGAAGGGCCCAGTGCAGGGTCCCAGGGGTATGGGACTCCTGGGCTATTGGAGGGCTGACTCTGAGGGTGGCTGGTAAGTCTCTGCTAGGCTGTGAGGCACCGTCTGCCTCTGTGGCCCCTGCTCAGTGCCCTGCAGCAGGCACACAGATGAACAGCATCTGATAACAAATCCAACTCACAACCAGGCAGCCAGGACATCCAGATGTCCAATGATTGCTAAGTTTTCCAGGTTGACCAGAAGTCTGCACAATTCTTATCACTCAATTCTCAGATTCTACTTTTGACCTGCAATTTTGAGATATTTTCTAAGCTATTACCTCTAACATCCCCTTTCTTTAAGCTGCATACCAACACACACACTCCCCTCATTTTGCCTCAGTGTAAATAATGAAAAATAACCTATGGCCCAGAGCAGAAAGACCCAATTACTAGAGATTGAGTACAAGCAGAAGTCATAAATATCCCAGTTTGCAGCAGTTGTGAGAAACTAACCACAGAGCAATTAAAGAAAACTGGTCTCCTGTGGAGGAAGCACTCAAAGACCCTCAGTGCAGAACTCCGATCATGAGGAAGTCCATTGCAGGTCCTTGCATCATTAATGTCAGGGAAGCAGGTGTGTGATTGCCCCACACCATGGAGAACATGGCAGGCACCTGAGCTCTGGCCACCAGATTTCTACGCGCTCTTAGGACTTGGGCCAGGCCAGGGATTTAGCTCAGAGGTTCCACTGCCTACCTCACAAGCACAAGGATCCGAGTTCAACCCCTGGTACAAAAAAAGAAAGAAAGGACTTGTGCCAAGGAAGGGATGCCAGGAAGGTAAGCTGGCTGTCACTGGAGAAATCGCCCCTGACTCTATGTCCTGCCCTGGAGGCAAGGAAGGCTGAAGGTAGAATGTTGGGGAAAGAAAGAAACTGAAGGGAAGCAGTGATTTTTTGGGGTGGCAGCTCCCTGGTCCAGGACTCTTTCCTCCCACCTCTGTCCCTACCCCAGGTAGCACAGAGGATTCTGTAATCTTGGCCCAGCTCGAACAGCCGGGATTTAGAGGAGTCCAGAGTGGTTCCAGGACCCCAAGGTGTGGCAACCACTGTTTCTAAAGCGCTTTGAGGAAGGCAGATCCAAGCACACAAGGGAAACTCACCTCCTGTGGGTCCGCTCAGTGCTGCCCAGGATCGCAGTTCCTCCCCCGACCTTCACGGCAGGGCCCAGGGGTCCGACGCCCTCCCCTGCCGATGCACACCCCATAAAGTAGGCCGCGCCGGGTGTGCGCCCTGGCAGGGACAGGGTCTGCGTGCGTGGGTGCGTGGTCGTGGGTGTGAGCGGGCCTGGCCCTGACAGCCCGGAAGTAGGGTACAGGCCGGCCCAGGACGGAGGGCGGTGCAGTCTCCCGCGTCCCGCCCACCGACGGTCCCTTTCCTCTGGACGCTGGGTTGCCCCCCCCCAGCTGCGACCTGGGACCGCTGGCTCAGCCAAGGCCTCCTCTCCCGCGGCTCGCACATCTGGGCCGTGGGATGGGGACACTGTGGGCACCAGCCCTGCCTGGAAGGGGACGAGCAGGGGCCATTCTGGCAGGGGAGGGCCGGGGAGCAGCCCCAACTCCTCTTGGGCCTCCTCTGACAGACTTTTTTGGAAGGTGGGTGACAGCTGCTTCAACAAAGCCAGGGACAGCTGGGTAGGTGGGGACAGCTGGACGGGGTTAGCATCTCCCTGCCTCCCCTCAGGCCCCTCCTGTCAGCCAGAGCAGACCGAGGCCAAGCAGGTGAGAAGTGGGAAGCATCCTGTCTGGCTCCTGGCATGGTTCCTATCCTGGGCTTGTGACAGACTGGAGAGCACAGCGAAACAGGAGCAGATGTGTGTGGAGCGTCAGTCTGTCCGCCAGCACCTGCCCCCCCTACCCCAAACAGGTGCAGGGCAGAGAAGGGGAGGCGGTGTGGTCCTCCTGCTCTGGCTCCAGCTCCCTGCCTGACTGGGAAGGGGACTGATGAAGTACAGTCCACCCTGCCCAGAGCCTGGCAGAGCAGAGGTGGCACCCAGGAGGACCTGCACTGATGTGACCATGCCAGAGCAGGGCCTGCCCACCTGCCTACCCGGTCCTTTCCCTGAGAGGGGTGGCCTGGGATCAGAGCCCTAGAGCAGTGGCAAGGGCCTTACACCACAAGGATCCCTTCCTTGTCCTGTTTGCAGTTCCACCCAGACAAGAGCAAAGAGGCGCCCACAAAAGCTGTGTCTTACAACGTAGACGGGAGGAGCACATGGGCTCACCTAGGCATTCACATGAAGTATCAGGCTGGGCTTTGGCACATATTCATATTCCCAGCACTCTGGGAGGCTGAGGCAGGAGGATAGCAAATGGCAGCCTAGCCTGGACAACTGAGCAAGACCGTCTCGAACCTGGGAAGGGACAGGGATGTAGCTCAGTCGGAAAGGCCTGCCTGGGTTCAGTCCCGGGTGCTGCCAAAGCCCCCACAAAACTCATCAGGCCCCTAACAGAGGGCGGGCCCTCTGCAGAGAGCTCGTGTCTCAGGGGGCTGCCCAGGTGACACAGCAGGCAGGACCCTGCGAGCCTCTCGCAGCACCTCTAGGAGTTACAGGAGCGGAAATGGAGGAGCTAATCAAGAACCAGGAGTCTCCTCACACTGGATTCTGAAAAGCAGCCTAAGCAGGTAGGGTCTCCACCTGTTTCCCTCTACCTCCCCCAGGAAGAATGGGCATGGGCGGCCCCTCCCTATGGGGGCCCAGCTGTTCTGTCTCAAGATTGGCACACAGCATGTTCTCAATAAATATTTGTGGGCTAGCCAGGAGTGGTGGCACATGACTGTATTCCCAGCACTCCAGAGGCTGAGGCAGGAGGATTGCTGAGTTCGAAACCAGCCTGGGCTACATAGTAAGTTCCAGGTCAGTCCCATCTACATGGTGAGACCATCTCCAAAAAAAAAGGGCTAAAGGAGCTAAATTTTGCAAGACTCAGGTGTCTCTCCTTCCTCTGTCCCAGCTAAAAGCACACTGGCAGAACCCCAAAGTGTAGCACTGGGCTGGGCGCCCTATGGCAAATATTTGTCAAATGAACCCAAGGTCAAGAGCAGAAGTAGCCAGTCAGTGCTTGAGGCCTGGCATCCTGTAGACCCGGGAGGGCAGAGCAGAGGGGAGGGAGGGGCTTTTGTCCTTAGATGCCCTCTCCTCTGGCAAGGCCTGAATGTCTTGGGCTGCATGTGCTGGGGGAAGAGGCAGGGACCAGGGAGTGGGACTGCACCATCGTATTTATTAGGTTGGATTTCAGTGTGCTCTAGACGTTACAGAATAAATACCTGCGCCTTGAGAGCAGGAAGTCCATGACTATCCGAAGTGCTCACTTCAGGAAGTGCTGCATCAGACTGCAGGTAGGGACCGAACCTGGGCAGCCCTCCTCCTCCACTGACCTCAACAAGGGCTGTGCTATTGTTTTTATTATTTCCTTTATTTCTTTATTATTATTAATATTATTATTATTTGCTTCTGCTGTGGTCACTGTCATTGGCAAAGTTCCTTTTCCCCTTTCCTGGACACAAGAGTCCTGTCTGTAGAAGATTCCACTTGGAGGCTGAAGGTGCCGAAAGCTGCTTGAGAAGTGGCCTCTGACCTCTGTCTGGGAAGATGGCGAGAAAGGAGGACAAATCATTCCTGGTTTAAAAAAAAATTTTAAAAACAAAAAACAAAAGTCCCACAATCTATAGGTCATTCCTTAATCAGTGATCAAACCGCCCAAAAGAAAAACAGGAGGGAGAAGCAGGCCAGCAGGCGAGTGAAGGGGGGTGCCCAAGGCCTCAGGGCAAACCGAGGTTCCTTCCAGCCCCAGGGGCGAGGGGGAAGAAAAAGGGGAGACTGTGAGAGCTCAGTGCCGTCATATTCTCCCAAATCCAGGGCCAACTGTGGCCCGGCCCAGGCCAGCTCCCGCTGCCACCTCCGAGTCCCGGAGGTTCGTAATAAAAAAAGTCAAAAATGAAGACCCAAACAAAATCCAGAAGGCAGAACTCTGGGGAGCGGCGTGAGGAAGGGGGAGGAGGCAGAGGGCAGGTCTCCAGATGCACAATTCCCAAGCCACTGGGGCAGGGGCCGGTCCCCAGTGCGGCCACCATGCGTGGCGTTAGCTTGTCACGTAGTGTTTGGCAGACGGCTGCCCATACACCCTGTAGAAATCCTGGTGGCCGGGCTGCTGGGGAGCATCGAGCCAGTCTCTGACGGCCAGGCCGGGGAGGGACTGGGGCACGGACGGCGCGGGTGGCAGCGAGTGTGAGTAGTCCTGCGAGGGCACTGTCCAGGGGAAGTGGCTGGAGCGAGCGTAGGGCTGGTGGCTGCCATGGTTGGCCACGGAAGAACAGTAACAGTTGTCCACAGAACAGACGAGAATCTTGCGGCCGCCATACTGAGGGAGCATGGGCTGCTGGGCAGTGGCGCCGTTGGGGTACTGTGACGGGGGGAACACAGGGCTCGAGTGCACCGGCTGGGCACCGCCTGGCAGGGCCACCAAGTGCTGCGTCGAGCTGCAGGGCCCCAGGGGCTGCCCAGACTGGCCCTCGCCGCTGGCCGAGCCCGCTGCCCCGTACTGGCTGCCCACAGGGCCTGAAGACGTCTCCAGGAAACTGGCCTCGGGGAAGGCTGTCGAGTGCTTGCGCTTCTCTGCGCCGGAGCCACTCACACCACAGGGGTACAGGGGGACACTCTGCAGGAAGGGCACCGGCGTGCTGAAGGGGCCTGTGAAGAGGGTGAGCACAGGTCGCCAAAGCTCCCAGCCCAGGTAAGCAAGGCCCCTCCTGGGGACCCCCACGCCCACGAACCCAGCGTGGGACAGGTGTGACAAGTGGCTCCACACTCCTGCTCCATCAGGAGGCGGAGGCGGAGGCTGTGGTTATTGTTTTCCAGCTAGACACTGAGCCTCCAGTCCCAGGTCCCAGGGACAGGAGAGGCTACACGGACACAAAACAACGCCTGGCGGGACCACCCTCCCCTGCTGGCCAGGGCCCGGCATTCTCTTCCCAGGGACCTGCCCTCACCTTCCAGCATCTTCCGCAGCTGCTTCTCCTTCTTGGCCACCTCGTTCAGGAAGAGCTTGGAGTTCAGGTGGCCGATCTTAGGGGGAGAGAGGCTGCTACCCGTGCAGGTCTGGGTCCTGGGGGCAGTGGATGGGGCGTCACCGGTGAGCCCGCCCCCCACGGCCTGGCCCCAAACCCGCAGACCCCTGGGTGTTCACCGAGGCCGGCACCTGCTCACCTGTCCATCAGGATCTTCACGGACTTGGTGTTCTGCAAGGAAGAGCAGGGGGTCAGGCAGAGGGACAGGGGAGACAGAAGCCACCCACCCTCCATGTCCCCAGGCACAGTGACACCTAGCAAGGGAAGGGACAGGAGGGCCACCAGTTTTGGAAACTAGAATGATTTCTTGAGAACAGCTACGTGACCTACGCACTGTAAGCATTTCACATCTGCAACTCCACCCCTGCAGCCACATCGAAGGTAGGCACCAAAGGCCCCACTGTTTATGTGAAGCTGCTAGGGCCAGGTGTGTTTTGAAACTTGAAATGTCTTGGATTTTAGAAGGGTGAATGTTACACCTCATCCCAGGACACTGCCACGGAACCCATCGGTGCTTCTGCAGCAAATGTCTGAATTTTCATACCCGTGAGACACAGAAAGCCCATAATCGCACCTCCATCAGCTCTGGCCAGTTTCTGGTTAAATGAGTTGCCCGAATTTGTTTCTGCTGCTTTTCAGAGTTAAGCAATCTCGAATGATGACAGAAGAGAGACCTGACCTGCACTGCCAGCCCCTTTCCCGGAGGGGGCTGAGGTGCAGGGGCACCTGCGGCTCACAGGGAGGAGGGGCGGCCCCACCCACCTTCATGAAGCCCACGTCCTCTGTCTTATCGAAGAGCAGCTGCAAGGAGCCGAGCAGCTTCTTGGCCTCCTGCATGCGCTCCCCTAGCTGCAGCGCCTGCGCCGCGTTCTCGCTGCAGAACTTGGCCTGGGCCTTGTCCAGGACCTCCACCGTCTGCCGCAGGTCCTCGTCCAGCAGCTGGTGCAGCTTCTCGTACTGCAGCCGCACCTCCTCTTTCAGCTGGCTCACCTTCTCCTGCGGGGCAGGCAGGGGCAGCAGTGAGCGGCCGCCCAGACCCACCCCGAGGGGCCGCCCCGGGCGCCAGCCCATTCTACCTCCACCAGGCGCTTGTCCGACTCCAGCTTGTAGAGCTGGTCCTCGATGTCCTGCTCGCGCTCCTCCAGCCGGTCCTGCTGCTTCATCAGCATCTTCTACACAGGGGGGGCAGGGCATCAGGGCAGCTGCCACCCCTACCACTGACCATCATCTGAGAGAGACCTCTCTGTCAGCCCGCCCTTGGGCCTCATGCAAGTTCAGGGGCTGCTGGCAGCTGCCACCGGCCTGTTCCCAGAGTGTTTAGACCCTGAGCCTGCTGAGGTAGGGCTTGGGTGGGCCGCTTCGCTAAGCCTTTTTCCTAGAGAAACTTTCTAATCAGCCTAGCAACACTACGCAGCAGTTTTGGAGTATGATCATTTCACAGAAGAGGAAACTGAGGCCCAGAAGGGCTTAGCAACTTGTACATCACAGAGCCAGTAAGTGGCCCAAACCCAGGCACTTTGGCAGCAGGCCCTGTTCCATCCATGCCAGGCTGCCCCTCAGTACCTACCACCTTAGAGGGGAGGACCCTGAGAGGCAGGGGGTCAACGCATCCTTCCAGGTAACACAGGCCTTTGTGCCTGCCCCAAGGCTGAGTGAGGATGCAAGCAGAAGGGGGACCTCGCTCTCCTAAGGCCCGATCCAGGGTAGATCAAGTTCTCCTTCTTAGCTCTTAACCTCCTGTCTCCGAGGCCCCTCACCTACCAGGCCACCCAGCCCCACAGCCCCATCCTTCCTGTCCTTTGCCCTCACCTGCATACCTTCCACTGCAGCCTCTCCCTTGCTCAAGAACCCTCAATAGCTCCCTGCTTTCAAGTACTTTAGCATGGCCTCCAAGGCTCTTTTGCACCTGACTCTTCCAGCCAGATAGGCAGACACCCTGCCCCAGTGGCTCTGTGGATGTTTTTCTGCCTGTACAGAGCCCTCCTCGCCTCTCAGCTCACCCCTGGCAAACTCTCTGGGGACCCCGTTCCGACCTGAGCCAGCCCTGCCACACGCTGTCACCTTCTGCCCTCCTTCACGAGCTGTGCCGTCCACTAGGGCACCACTAGTCACCAGTGGCTCTGTATGCGTGAATTAATCAAATGTAAGTTGGACTTAAGACACCAGCTCCTCAGCTGCCCCAGCTCTGACTGCTCTGTAGTTCTGCGTGGCTGGCACGGGACGTTTGTAGCGCTGCCACCCCGGTAGTTCTAACTGGGCCAGAGTCCTCTGCCTGCTCTCCGGGGCACAGGGCCTTGCAGGGCAGGGCCTGACTGCTCTTCCTCCACTGCCCTCCAGAGCCATGGCTACTGCCTGCCTCGCTCACTCACCCCTGCTCCCATGGGGGCCTCCGAGGCACCCCTGGGGGTGGGTGATCCATGACCCCTGCTCCCAACCTCACCCAGCTGGCTCCCCAAAGCCAAGCTGCCAATAGTGCTTTCCTCAGGCCCAAACCCACTGTGCAAAGGGGACACCAAGGCCACCAAGTCTTCAGCAAGACACCACCTCATGCAGGCAGCTGCCCAAGAAACAGAGATCTGGGGTGCTAGGAGGAGAGAGGTGGGAGGGGCTAATGTTTTCAGCTGGGAAAACCATGCCCTCCACCCCAGCTGGCTCTACCTTTCAGGTACCCGTACAGTGCCCCTAAAACAAAGACCCAGGTCACTCCTCAGACTTCAGGCCCTGCCCCCTTCCCACCCCAACAACCCTCCTCAAACTTTATCTATTTATTTATTTTTGAGACAGGTCTCCCATGTAATCCAGGCTGGCCTTGCACTCACTATGTAGCCCACCCAGGCTGGCTTCCAAACAGCAATCCTCCTGCCTCAGCCTCCCAAGTGCTAGGAGTATAGGCATGCACCACCCCACACAGGTGTCCTCAACCACCTGTCTGCTTGAGGACAAGGACCCCAAGACACCCGAATCCAGGTCACTCCCACCGGCCTACCGCAGCCCTCACGCCCTGCACGGTGGGCCTCCGCCCGGCTGCTTCAATGACAAACCCATCAGTGCAGACTTGGTACCAGGGCTGGGCTCCCAGGCACCAGTCACCCTGTAGACCGGCCTCTCCCCTTCTCCACCGGGCGGGGCGGAGGTGTGTGTGCTGACGCATGGGGTACAGGTAGGACCAGAACTCAGCCCCTTTCTCTTTCCAGGCACTGCCAGGCTTCCCTGGGCAGCCACTGCTCCCATCCTGGGGCCCTTCGGCCTCCTCAGCTTCAGGGCCCTCTGCAGGCCTCACAGACAGTGGCCACATCCCTGGCACGGCTCACGTCCCCTCTCTCCCACCTCTGCTGAGGGCGCTAGAGAGGGCAGAAAGCAAAGCCAGTTGGCCAGGCTCCCTTCCCTCGCAGGCCAGGTGACCTTAGTCCTGCTGCATCCTCTGGCAGCTGGGAAAGAGGAAGTACTGCCCTTTCTACAGCCCATGCATCGAGCTGGGTGGCACCAATGCTGGAGTCTCCAGGGTCCAGAAGCAAGATCCACACCCCCTCCTTAGCCAGAGTCCACCTTTCCAAACAACCCCACCTGCCTCCCCAGGGAATCAGATTCCCACCTGGGAAAAACCTCAAAGCCCTTCTCACCCAGGCCTCTGATGTGGGGGAGGCTGGGGGCAGGTGGGTAGGTGTTACAACTGGCCCAGGTAGGGCCTGCCCACCCCTCCCTGCCCCTGAGGGCCTCAGGCCTCCTGGGTCTGCTCCTGGGCCTGTGAGATGAAAGCAAGTATCAGCCCCATCCCATTGCTGGTCCAGGGCCCTCCCAGCTCCAGTACCGCCCCAGGAAATGCAGGCCTCTGAGAGCCCACCAGGCCCCGACAGCATTTCTGTTGCCAGAATGGACTAGCAGGTGGTGAGGCATGGGGACTCTGGGCTGAGTAGGTTAATAAATAATAATGATAATAAGGCCCAGAGATCAACCTCGAGAAGCAAGGCCAGGAGGGATCAGGCTGAGGCAGATGCCTGGATGGGGTAGGGTGGGGGTGGTGGGCAGGGCTGGACTGTGGCCCTCCCCTGCTAGCTCCAGCTCTGGCCTCTGCCCAGGGAGCGCTGCCACCCCTGTGCCCATCCCAGGACCTTGTGGCCCACACCACTGTCCCTCCCTATCCCTGCCCTCACCCCTTTTCCCTGCCTTGGGGTACAATGTGAAGCCTGGCAGGGGAGTAAGAGCAAAGGAAATGGGCAGGAGGCAGGGCCTGCAGGGCAGCCCTCCCGGGCTTCCCAGCTGCAGAGCAGAATTAGCTTCTGCCATGCACACAACAGGCGCCGAGGCAGCAGAACAAAGAGAAAGCCCCCCTTTGTCTGGGCTTGAATGCCAGGCCACCAGGGAGGAGGAAGGGTTCTCAGGGCCAGGACCTCAGCCCAAGGCAGGGTCCTCACCACCATAGGCAACTTCCCAAACACGGCCAAGGGAGAAAGGCACTTCCCCAGTTCCTGCAGCCAGAACCTGGGCAGGCTCTCACGGAGGCAGCGTGCCCTGTGGCAGTCACACCAACAACAGAAGCCCACACTCAACTTCCCTTGCAGGTGCCTGGCACCGCACACACGGCCACACACACTGAGCCTTTGCGGAGATATTTGTGCAAGGTACAAAGATTTAGTCACTTGTGGGATACACAACCCAGGCATGCTCTCACACCCCCACCACGCACAGCCCCTGGAGCTGCAGGAGGCACAGTCATCAATAGGGCAGCAGGACAGGCTCCTGTCCTAACACAGGACGGGGGTGAAGGGGCCCAGGAGGCCAAACCAGGCCCCGCCCACAAACTCCGCACAGGCATGCGCCGCGTGTCGCGCATGCGCGTGCCCTGTCTGAGACTTTAGGAGTCCAGGTCAGCAGCCGGCTGGCGGTGGGTCTGCACTACCATCCCACACCCCGCAGAGCACCCCACAGAGCAGGAGGGCAGGGCCAGAGACCTGGGACTCTGGTGAGTGCCTGCAGGCACCCTCGCTCCACAAGAAGCTGCCCAGCAGTGTGATCTCCAGGCAGAGAGCACCTCTCCGAGCCCACACCAGGACAGGGGTCCTGGCCACACACCCCACCGCCCTGGGTCTGGGGCGTGATGCTGACACTCACCCCACAAAGGCAACCCCACCCGGGCCTTCTCCTGGGGCCTTTCCATGCAGCAGGAGACCCCAGCACTCCCAGCCCTGCAGCTCCAGTTTCTCAGAACCCCTGACCCCGGGGGTGAGGAGGGGGCTAGTCTGTCCAGGGCTCCCAGGCCTCTGCCTACCTGGAGGTCCCACTCTTGGGCCCCAGGTGCTCTCAGTCCCATGGGGAGAAGAGCATGAAGAGCAGTTTTAGGGCCCAGCAGGGTGGAGCGCAGCACCTTAGCCAGAAGAGTGGGTCAGAGCACAGCCCCCCGACCCCCGAAGAGGTCTACTGGTGTCTGGGGGAAGCCCACTACCCTCACCCAGGTGCAGTAGGGCCCTGTGAGATAGACACCCTCTAGCAAGGGGCGGGGGGGGGAGGCAAAGACCCCCTGCTGGACCCTGGAAAGGGCCAGGGTCCCCATCCAGATTCCTGGCTCTCTCTCCCCCAAGGGCAGCTCCTATTCCTCCACCTCAGCAGTCAAAGTACTGCAGGGTCCCTGGGTGCCCTGCCCCGAAGAGGATGGAGCAGTGGGGTCAGGGCCTGAGGAAGGCTGAGACCCGGGAGGCCACTGCTCAGCAGGTCGAGCGCACAGAACTGCACATCTGGCTGTGATGCAACCCACTACTTCTGAGCCCACCCACACCAGGCACACGCGTGCGTGCACGAACATGCGCGCGCGCACACACACACACACACACACACACACACACACACAGGGTGAAGTTGCTGACAAAGTTCAGTGGCGGTTTCCATCCAGACCTGCAGTAGAGAGAAGGGGCCTGGCGGCCGAAGCCAGCGAATGCCACCGTAGCATCCTAGCTACCGGCAGGAGCCAGGTCCATCTTAGGGCAAAGAGAGACGGGCAGCCGCTTCCTCCTCCACGGTCAACACTCGGAGCCAGGGCAAGCAGCTGTGCCCTGTCCTCTCCTGCTCCCTTCAGCCACATCCCTTCCTCTGATCACTCCCACTGCCAGTCCTGGGACAGAAGTGCATGGACAGCCCTCTGTTTACCTGGCTCTGCCATCTTTATTAATAGCAGCATCCAGCAGAGGACACAGCAGCTCCCTCTGTCCCCCACACTTCCCCTAAGAAACCAGAGGCCCATCCTGGCACAAGACCCCAGTGCTGGCCTGGCCCATCGGACTGCAGACTAATTATACAGCAAATTTTACTTGCTGGTCCTGCCCACAGCCCTCGGTGGCCCTTCAGCCTTTTGTTGGTCACGGATGTATGTTTTTAATTGCTAAACAGTGACTCACTCTTGGCTGGTCCCCCAGGAAAGAGCCCCTATCTACGCGGGGCCCTGCTCAGAGCTTCCTCATACTCGGGCTGCCCGCTGGCCTCGACCCCTTCAGGGTCTTCCACCCAGAACCACTGCGTCCTTCCAGCCCAGCCTTGGTCCCAAGTCACACCCAGGCCCTGCATCCGGGCTGGGGAGAGGGCTCACAGCACCGGTTTAGGCCAAGCCCTTCCTTCTGGGGTGACTCAGCCCAGAGTGCCCAGGGACTGGGGCGGGGTTGGAAGAGCCACCAGAAGGGCCGGAAGTGCGACCTCGCCCAGCTCCCGCGGCCTAGGGGAAAGGCGGTTTTGACATTGGCTGCGCCGCAGGGTGTATACAAAGGGAGGGGGTGCAGCTCCAGCGTCAGCGGCCAGCAGCCCAGGGGAGCCGGCTGCCTGGAACCGGACTTAGAGGCAGC